AGTGGGAAAGGACTCATGGCATAATTCCATCATCTGAAAAGATGTCAATGATAGAGCTTCCCCTTACCATCCCTGTCTGTATTAGGGGTTTGAGAGGGCAGTGGTGTGTCTTCCCATTTCACAGGATGGAGACTGGGGGAAGAGGGAAAGAGATCCTTCCTTGCTTCAATTACAGAAGGAAAATGATGTCTCCTGACAAAGCTGGAGAGCAACCCTTCCTGCTCAGAGAGGCATGGACACTTGGCACACTCCTTAGAAAATAAAGGCAGGAAGTTCAACTGGGGACACTGAACACTTTTAGAAACCCCTCCAAACTCCTAGTTGCTTCTCTGATACTGCCTCTTACCAAATAAATAAACTGAGAAAGAACAGATAACCTGGGCTCCACCTGAGATCCCACCACTACACAGTGACCTCTAATAATTCAGCTAATGGACTTTGTAGTCACCATGCTGTAGATAAAGACAGGAGAATTATTTTAAGGATTAGTCAGTGCACTCAACAGTAACTTCAAAAAAAGTTTGATAGAGGTTTTTTTAATATGGTTTTGGTTTGCTAGAAGTTTTTCACATAGGTTTGGTGTTTTTTTATTTCTTTTTCCTGGCAAGATGATGCACCCCAGTTCATTGAGTATTCCTTTCATAAATCAAAACATCAGAAGTACAACATGTTTCCTGAACTTGCTGGAATAAACATTATACATAGTCCCCTCTGGAGCATTTTGGTTAGGGTGTTTGTCTTGCTGTTTGTGCATGTGAATTACTACATAATTAATCTAAAAGTCTGTAAAATCAGCCTCTCTACGGTAGGCAAGCATCCTTGCAGGACTTGGTCCAAAGAGTGGTGATTAGATTGAGGCTATCTAAAAGTTCGTATTCCTGGTATATTTACTCCATGGACATGCCTTTACTGAAAATATTTGCTTGCCTTCCATGTGGTCTGTGGGTGAAAACATCCCAATTTATATGAATATTTGCCCTGGACATAGGTGAGTTAGTAAAAAGTGATCATCTGAAGAGATATTCAGAGTAAACTCAAGATACATCGTCAGTGGGTGCAACCTGAAATATATTGAGTAGTGAGGTTGAAGATCTATTCCCAGCAGTCCATGTGGGAATAGATTTATATACATATACACATGACCACATACAAACATATTGCAGACAAAAACACCTAGGACCCCCCAGGTGCTCCCACAAACACCAAGAGCATCATCACCCTCACACTTCTCCCCTCCAAAACAGTGCAGCATCAAGATCCATTCATGAGAATATGTATCTGTGCAGACATACAGATTGTGGCTCCTTCCATCAACTGGGCTCATAACCTCAATCTGCCCAGTAGCTGCCCCTGGATCCCAATCTCCTCAGTTTCTGGCACCTGGACATAAGCCTCCAGTATTGACTTGCAGTGATGGGTTTCATGCTGGGATTTACTTGGAACAACCCTGAAAGGGACCTGGATGTGGTGTCCTGGTATTTTTCTGAGTCTTAATTTGGTAGTCTGCTTTAGCACACTCCTGCTCCACCAGGATAGTGTACATAGGCTTTGGATAATCTGATGTTTCCTGCAGTAGGCCTGAGAGCAGCCAGGGACAGGAAATTATTTGGGCTCTCTCTCCTGCCACAATCTCTCTGTGCTTCTTTTGGATGTATAGATGAGCTTTTATCACCTAATCCAATGTGAACAGGTTTCCACAGCAGTGGCATCAGAGCAGCTCCCCCATATTGCTCTGTGCTATCTACCTTGTTTTCCAGCATCTCAGCTGCCTCAGCCAGCTGGGGCTGCATGTTCCTGAACCCCACTCTGTCACACTGCAGAGCATTCCTTGCAAGCTGACCAACAGCACATGCAGGCCCCTTGCCATTGCTGCCTGGGCAGTTATTTGAAGATCTCTCTGCTTTAAGATAAGCCAAAAGCATTACTTTTGTTTGCATTCAGCTCTTTTTTGACAAGGGTCTGTTAGAATTGCAGTACAATGAGAACAAGCATGGTGTTGATCATGGAAAGTAATGGATCATTGCACTCCTCCATTAATCTGCCCCTCTGGAGTCTATACATTCTGAAAATTCAAGCATGATGCAGATTGCCTGCCTACCATAAAAATAGAAAGAGAAACATTTACAGGGTAAATTACTATTGACATACACCAGGTCACTGAGAGTGAACAAGAAATGTCTTTTTCAGCTTACTGCAAACACCATCTTTGCCTTTTCATGTCTTCAATCTTCCTGAAGCTGAAGTGCTTTACAAGTTTGTGTTTTGGATTAATCAGAAGCCTTGGTCATTTGTTCCTTGTATGCAAGCAACAGCAAAGTCTCTTTTTTTTTCAAGTGACCTATGTGTTGGCTTTGGTGGAAAGTTGTGGGAATTAAAACTACAGAGGCCAATAGTGGAACTATATGTATAAAAGAAAACATAACAGTGATAAGCCTATTATATCCTTTGAATCAAGCTTCTGCTGATGTGGTGTTGGGTGTGAATACATTTGACTAATTTTCAGTCAGTTATATTTCTGCTCTACTGAGTCGTTTGCAAAATATAAGCCTTTGGATTTGCTTGCAAGGACAAGATCTCTTCTTGTTACTTAAAAAAATATAACTAAAAGATTAGACAAAAGCAAGACAGATTAAAAAATGTCTATTTATAAGTTGCTTTAGTAATGAGAAAATTTGAATGCACAGATTTGTAGTTGTAGAATAAATAATCTGGTGCCAGTAAAATGAAGGGACCTTACATTCTTAATGAAAGAAACTCATGTAAAGCTCTGGAGACAAAGTCTGCAAAACATGGCTGAATGAATGCTCTTTACAGTTGTGTGATGATATTTCTTCAGGCTGTATTTCAGTTCATCAGTTTATTCTATTTCAACTTTACAGATTATGTAAGTAATTACTTAATAAGTAAAACTTATAATCTTTACTGTATATTTTGCTTTCGTAATGTATTTGATTTCCTGCTGACATAAAGGGAATAAATTGGCTCCCAACTAATAATTGTTCAGAACTAAGCTCTTTTAGAGTCCTTAATGGACTAACATACTCTGACATTTGAGGTACTAGTATTTGCAAAATTGCTGTGGTGACAAATGCAGTTCGGGTTAAAAATCACAATAATAATTCTACTTTGCTTAACTACTCAGCATGATTCCAAAAGGACATTTCTGCCAAAGCGAATGCATGTTTTCCTTTTTTTCTGAGAAATGGTATCTTTAGTAAAATATAAGTGTATGGGTAAGTTTGACTTCTTTTTGGTCACAGTACCCTACACCTACTCAAATTACTATTAAAACATTTAAAGTAGCACAGTGTCCATTTATTGAAGAAAAGATCAGGTCAGACCCAAGGGAACAATCTGTAGAACAAAAATTCTGGCACTTGCCTCAACTTCTTTTTGGTCATTGTGATAAAGTAAAACATTCCTAAAAGCAGTGATTCTTCCCTTTAAATTTCTCTGCCTGTCACTGCAAACCCATCAGATGTGGCCTAGAGTGGGTTTTTTGGCTCATGCAGGGAACCTGTAGGCAATGGCATTGGACCCAGGGTAACAGTGATAGCTCTAGCAGCTTTTGCCCATGGCCATCCCTCTGGTTTTGCAATAAGCAAAGCCAAATGGGGAGATTTGATCCATTTTGTGTCTTTCACTAGAATCAGTTGTCAGACTAGATTAGAAAAGATCATGATCTTTTTTTAGAATGTAAGACTTTGCAGACCAGGGTCTCAATAAGTAGAGATGATGGCTGTGTTATGAGAAGGGGTCACTAGTGAATGTAACAATGCAGACTAGCTTCCAAAACATTTAGGTGACAGATTTTTGAAGCTATTTCACCTTTTGTCAAAGAGATTTTGAGAAAAAAAATCCATCATATGGCACAGGATCCCTTTCCAGGGTGTCCTCTCATAACCGTGTAGTTATAGAAGTTAGTTTCTATTCTATTGCCATTTTCCTAAGCACCCTGTATTGTCCAAGGAGGGAGGGAGGGAGGAAACGGTGTGGGACAGGCTGGCAGAAAGAGGTATGCTCTCTGTCTTTTTCTCTCTCTATTGATCATTGATCCCACCAAAAACTTTGAGCCTAGAGCCAGACTTAGTCACAAGTTCAAGACAAAGCGTAAGTGCTTGGAGGAAGTTTCCTGCATCCTGTGTCACCATCAAGGGCACACACTGCTCCCAGTCAGAAAGTGGTGACCAGCAGCATCACTCTTGGCTGAGCTAGGAGACAGCCATGGAGCTTTCCTTCTACAGAGCAGACCTGGGTACCAGCAGAATGGTGGCAGGCAGAAACTGACAGGTACCGCGAGTGTGGTTCCAAGTCACCCATTATCGCTCCACTCAAATAAAGCACTCTAAGCTGTTTTACCACCAGCACTCATGGTCCCTATGGTGTTTTAAGGCCTCAGATACTTCCATTCAGCTGCAGTTGTGGCTAAGGCATGTGCAATTTAAACAGAAGGTAAGTCAGAGTTCAAACTCAGCCCCTGCCCATGGCTTAATGCACAATGGAAGTGTTGCTGACCTTCTGGTGGATAAAAGACCTGCAGAGGAATGTGCTGGAGAGAAACAACAAAAGGAAGACAGATTAGCTCAGAAATTTTTGATGTTTTCCTGCTAAATTTACATCCTGATCTCAAAAGTAAAAGATAAGAAATTAATACATTGCTGATTTTCTTTCAGAGCTCTGTTTTTAGATTGTAAGGTTTGTATTAAAATGTGAGAATGGGAGAAAATATAATCTCTTCTTTCTAAAAGTAAAGGAAGAATATTGATGGCAGGAGAAAATATTATTTTCAGCAAGCAAAAGTAAACCCTGTGTTGATACTATCTCTGTAACAGTAATACCTGACAGATAATCCTTAGCTTATTTGAAATCTATAATTAAACAGAGTCATGTTGCCCTGGTTGTCAAAATCAGTATTGTCTCTTTTGTCTTTTTGCAACTCTGCTTGAAATTAAGGAGAATTTGCTTTGCTTTGACTCCTCTCTCTCCCTTTCTCTTTTAAGGTCAACTCAAATCAAAACGTATTCTTGGGATAATGCCCAGGTTATTTTGGTTGGCAACAAATGTGACATGGAGGATGAACGAGTAATCTTCACTGAGAGGGGAAAACATTTAGCAGAGCAACTTGGTAAGAAATGACACAACAAAAGCTTTGTGGTTGTTTGTGAGAATGCACAAATTAATTTAATTTATAGCTTACAGAACTTGCAAATACATGTTCATGACACATTCATTGTAAAGGCATAGTCACACACTGCTTCTTTTATTTCTACAGCCTTTTTGACATGGAGCAAGAAAACAAGTAAATCAAAAAACCCCAAGCAATGTTTTTTTTTTCCTCTCCCCTCAAAAAAAAAAAAAAAAAAAAAAAAAAAAAAAAAAAAAAAAAAAAGAGAAGAAAGAAGATATTGCAGAAAAAGCTTACTAAACCTTTTTGCAACTTGAGTAGATTTGGGTTATGATTAGCAATACCAATAATCCAGAATAGAAATATGCTGCTGTCCAACTCAACTCCCACTTCTAACACTTCTTCTGCTGATCTACTGTACATTTACAGAACTGTAGATATGAACTTTTTTCATAAAGTCTCCCTCTGGTAAGCAAATTCTGTACACACAGAAAATTGCCAAGCTGTGAGGACCTTTGTTGTTTCTGTTTCTACACAACAGTGTTATCCTTTCATGCCATGAAATGTTTTTGGAGTGACACTGGCCAAACTTTAATGGCAAATCTCCAGAGCATCATTGTAATACTAATACCAAGGCTCTTTTTTCCTTCAAATTTCCTGATCTCTGGAGAGTAAGCTCAGCAGGTGTGTAAATCAAACTCTGGAGTTGTTAGAGGTCAATTTATGTACAAGGAATCATAAATTATGGGCATGGATTTGTTATTGTTTTTAAAACTCTGTGTAGTAAAAGTTCAGTCTGGTCAAAATATGTGTAACCAAGATCTCCTTGTCACTATTCCTATATAGGTAGGTAGAAGAAAGGATGTTTTAGTCAGGGATCCAATCTCATGCTGGTGATTCTTAAGTCATGTATATTCATAGGTCAATGATCTTATTTTTAAAAAAATACTGTTTCCCACTTGTACAATTACTTTTCCTGGTAAATAATTTTGTCAGAATTCCTATTGAATCTATCTTAATAAGTGCTGCATATGTGTAAAAGAACTTCTTGAATGAATATGTTAACAATTACTGTAAGTTAGTCTTTGAAAGATGGCAGGAAATATTTAACAGAAGGTTATATCCAGAAAACTTACCAATATTCGTAAAGAATTGCATTCTCAAACTGATTGCAACCAAACCATTAACAGAGGATATTTATCTTTGCAGAAATACCTGTCATATTTTTATATATATTTTTCTTTATATGTTCTTCCCATTTCTAATGTTTACTCATTGCACTAGGAGATAGGAATATGTATTCATTGCACAAAGAGATCCCAAAAACATAACTGTATACTTTTACCATGAATTTTTACAAGGTGCTGAAACATTTAGCAACAACCATAAATTTTCACTATAGAATTTGAATTTTTTTAAAGTCACAAAAAAATCTGAATTTCTATGCTTTGAACCATATTCCTTCAAAAAAAAAAAAAGCAATGAATTGACAAAGCATCCCCATGGTCATAAATTTATCAAGACAAGAAGGAACTTTGCATGTTTTACAGTCAGGAATCCTCAGATGTAATAACCTATGCTTGAAAAAAAGGAAAAAGGGTAATGAGATAGATAACAAAACTCATGTTTCAGTCTTTAAAGCAAATTCTAACTCCTGGGATTTAAAATTCAATCTTTATAGAAGAAGATTATCCTCTATTTCCATATTTATCTACTCAGGGGGTTTCTTTTCTCAGATATATATCCTGTGGCTATCTCAAGGGTAGATGATTATATTAGATAACTTGTGTCTCTGATCCAGTCATTTACTGTAGTCAGACTGCACACACAAATGTTTACATGTTTCTTGTACAGCTACAATAATTTCTTAAATCTGCCCTGAGAGTAGATGAGGTGATGTCAGGAACAGCAGAATACTTTTCCTTAACTGCAGTAATTGCTGGCCTTGCTGGCTGGTTTGGAGGGCACCCATTGTGTTATACACATGGGACTATCTTTTGTTTCTCTGGCAGTAAATTGATAACATCTCTTACAGACAAGTTTTAAAAATAACAATATAGATTTTTCTATCCAGGCAGACATTTTAAAACTGTGGGCCCTTTGAACACAGTGTTGATCACAGACACAAGCCAATAACATTCACAAGTGCTGTACAAAAACTAGACTGTGACACCGTCTGTTCTCAAGTGTGGTTTTATTTTCAGCCCTTGTTTATTTGAAGTCCCTGAGAAAATGAACACATCCACCTTCTGGGGTGACTATTCAGAAGGTCAAAAAGAGGACTGGGAGTTTAACCCTCTGGGGAACATGGTGTTTTGTTGAGAACAGTGTTATTGGAAAATGGAGACTCCTTTTGGCTCCTGACCTCTCTGAAAAGTGTGGCCCTAAAGTTTAATAACAAGGTGTAATCATTCATTTCTTTGAATCACTGTGCTGGCTTTTTTCTCAAGTGTAACCCAAACAAGAAGTTTAAATGAACCAACAATAAGTCTCATTACTGTTGGAGGAGGTCTGCTGAACTACCCTGTGGTACATCTGCATAACTTTTTCATGGCACTACTCAAAGTTCACAAAAGAATGAAGGAATAGTTAGGAACCCAGACCTGACCTTGAAGAAAAATTACAGAATTTTTATGAAGTCAGAATCTGTCATGTTTGCTTTGAAGATTTTTTTTAAATTTATTTTTAATAACATGACACTGGCAACACCACTATGGATCATAGCTACAAGCAGTATTGTAGGTATTTTGTAAAAGATGTGAACTGGCAAACATGCAGTGATACTTTCTCTGACCATAGAAAATTATATTTGTGGTTGTCATGAACCAAATGCAATACATTTATATTCAATAGGCCTTTTGTAATTTTTTTGTGTGGATTTGTACAATGATGTCTTTGAAGCCATATAGTCATACCACCCACAACATCCTTTAAATATGCACAGTTTATCTGTTATCTACTGCTCCTTTGAATTGGCCCCCTGATAGTTTAATTTCATTTTTCTTCACTATTATATTCTTACAAAGAGTATACAATTGTTTGCTATTACCTGCTCTGTAACTCTGTGGGTTTCAGAGAGCTCTGTCATATTCCCTTTTTATCCAAAAGGTAATTCCCAGAATATTTAATTGTTCCAGGCATAAAGACACAAAGACGTCCATTAGTCATTCCTTATCATCCTATTCAGTACTTTTATAAAATGTTTTTTTCAGCAATCAGTTCATGGTTTTTTAACACAATAGCATCATTAACAGGTTAAGGTTAGAATGAAATGAAAATAGATGAGATCAAATAAAGTCACATAACCTTTCCTCATATAAATATTATTCCAAGAATGCGTAGAAATGTGACAAACCAGGCAATAGAGAGAAATAATTATTACAAGGTTATTATTGATTTGGTAATGACAGTAAATGCATTTAAAGTTTATTCACTAATCACTAACAAAAAAGAGTATGGAATGTAATTCTTATGATATTTTCTCTCTTCAGGAATATTTGCTCTGAGCAGTACATGGATTAGCTATGGATATAGTCAGCACTTACATGCTTTAAAGCATTTTAGTAAAACAAGGGTTAGAACTTCTTGTGAGCAAAATGCATGCACTCTTGCCAGCTGAATTGCTCACACAGTTTTCTGAGATATTGCTCTCATGCCTTTCAGCAAAACTCATACATTCATACAAGTTTGGTGTCAATTGTCAGAAGAGAAATAAAAGGAGTCACAGGTGGCTTGATGTCTTCTTGTTTCTTCTATCCACAGTCTGTATGATATAGTGATATTGTAACCTACATTCCAGCTAAGGACTAGCAGGGAGAGGTGTGCACAGGCCTTTGAATAGAGTCTGAATAACTGCACAGGAAATGGATAGCTGCATACGCAGTTTGACATAAAGTTTTTCCATTTATTTGGGACATTCTACTGTGCCTGTTAATTAGATACATCAACTTTTATGTGTTCTTTGGTTTCTCAAGTTCTTCTTATGCTTTGCCATCCAGGATCAACCATGGCTGGGGGCATGCATCATATGTAAGCATGCCCTAGGTTGCACTTGCCTGTTTTCTAAATTTATCCTGGCATCCTATTTCTCCTAGAGGCCAACATCCAATGTCAGAAAACAAAATGAAATGTGCTCACCCAGAAAGGTGCTCACATTCTCTTCTGCAAGGGGCAGTAGAAACCAGGCCTCACACCGTGTTCAGGGAACCTGCAAAGGCCTCTGAATATTATGTGTGTCATGGTCAGCAGTGCCTGACTTCAGTGCACCTCCACAGCTTGTCACTCAGAGAGATTGTAATTTTTACATACCTTATCTCCATATTTTCTCTTATCATTTGGGTGACTGCCTCTTTTAAGTCTTTACTTTCACCTTCCTTCCTTCCTTCCTTCCTTCCTTCCTTCCTTCCTTCCTTCCTTCCTTCCTTCCTTCCTTCCTTCCTTCCTTCCTTCCTTCCTTCCTTCCTTCCTTCCTTCCTTCCTTCCTTCCTTCCTTCCTTCCTTCCTTCCTTCCTTCCTTCCTTCCTTCCTTCCTTCCTTCCTTCCTTCCTTCCTTCCTTCCTTTTTCTTTTCTTTTCTTTTCTTTTCTTTTCTTTTCTTTTCTTTTCTTTTCTTTTCTTTTCTTTTCTTTTCTTTTCTTTTCTTTTCTTTTCTTTTCTTTTCTTTTCTTTTCTTTTCTTTTCTTTTCTTTTCTTTTCTTTTTTCTTTTCTTTTTTCTTTTCTTTTCTTTTCTTTTCTTTTCTTTTCTTTTCTTTTCTTTTCTTTTCTTTTCTTTTCTTTTCTTTTCTTTTCTTTTCTTTTCTTTTCTTTTCTTTTCTTTTCTTTTCTTTTCTTTTCCTTTTCTTTTTTTTTTTCTTCTCTTCTCTTCTCTTCTCTTCTCTTCTCTTCTCTTCTCTTCTCTTCTCTTCTCTTCTCTTCTCTTCTCTTCTCTTCTCTTCTCTTCTCTTCTCTTCTTTCTTTTCTTTTTCTTTCTCTTCTTCCTCTTCTTCTTCTTCTTTATTTTT